AGAAAATTATCCAAACTATCCAAACCACTCCATGTTTCTTGACCAATTGATGATGATAATGCCGAATATTCCAAAAACATGTCTGTTGCTTGCGCATCATCCCATGGATGGAAACTCAATACATGAAACAACCAGTTGTTTCACACATTGGTTATTGATTTTCTCCAGCACATTTTTGCGGAGCAGCGTGTCAACCCAAACAGTTTGCTCCTGGTGAAGACTTTGCTGGTTAAATCACTGCTTCAGCGGGATTTGACCAAAGTCCAGACCTTTTTCTGCTGGATTGCCCATTTAAAAAGGTGGACTTATAAAGGTTAACATATCTCGATTTATAAAGGTTAACAGCATGTTCAAGCCCATTCGATATCAAAATCGAATGATCCAATTACAAAGGTTCAAAGCATATATATATACTGTATATATTTATTTAAAGCCCTATCTGTTCGATAAATCTACTCAAAGCCAGCTTACCACGATAAAACCCATGAAAAGCTCAAAGAAAAATCCATCTTTCGCCAGCATCACCTCAACTTCTCATCCAGCCATGGGAACCCCATGGGAATTCCCTCGGTGTTTCCCCGTGGTTTCACCGGTGGTTTCCACGTGGAAACCACGACGACGGGGCACTGGGTGAAGTTCACCGCTCCGAGGCCGTCCAGATCGAAGGCCTCGTCCCAGGCCTCGTCGATGCTGCCGAACCTCGGAGTTGGGGAGTTCTCCCAGGTTTTTCGCAGTTGTTTGGATGGTTAACATGCCAGAATTCAAAAAAATGATGATGATGATGATGATGATGATGATGATTTTAAGAATATTTTTAATAATATTAGTCATAAGTGTTTAATAATGATAGTAATAATAAGAAGAAGAAGAACAATAATAGCAATAATAGTACTAAAAGTAATAATAATAATACATAATTGTTCATGTACCATGCTTCTTACCCAATGATGATTGATAGCGGTTCCTTGATTATAACGAAAATTAGTACCATTGTTATTGATGTATGGCCATAATAGTTAATAATGGTTCCATAATACGAATTAATGTTAATAATGGTGCCATAATACTAATTAATGTTTGTAATTATAACTATTACTAATGAATGGTTAATAGTCATTATTTATAACCATTGGACAACGGTAACAATCATTTTAAAAAAAATAATTTCACCATTATTGGATCATCATGATTCCAATGATGAATGATGACTATGATGATCCTATGTTATCATGACGACTAACCATTGGTTTAATAACGCATGGTGAATGATATGATTAGTACCTGAAATTCATCTACAGTAACTATTCTATGATCTAATCATCATGAAAATAACGCGTTATTTTCGAACATGTTGAAAGCAGCAATAAAGTAATCATATGTAATCATCAACATCCACATCGTTCTCCTCCTCTCCCTGATCCTCATCCTCATCATCATCATCATCATCATCGGCAGCATCATCATCATCATCATCATCATCATAACCTGAAATAAGCATATTTTGCTCACGCATTTGTGCATGGGACGTTTACCCTACAATGAGATGTGCGTCACTATCACTTACTGATTGGGATGGCCATCCAACTGCATCTGAAAATCATCCTAACGCATGGAATACCCCTTTTTGGGTCACATGTTGAACTAATAATTCACTTTCTGGTTTCCACTTAAGTTCTTTGGACCTTTCGGAACACATGACCTTTGCGTTCTTCCGTTGTTCCTTACAAAACTCCCGATGTTTCGGGCCAGTCCAAGCATGCAGTCCTAGTGCTAATAGGTAGTACTAAAAAAAAGTTCCCCATTTAATTAGATCCCATTCAATATAGTACTAATAGAGTTCCCCATTACCAGTTCATTAGCTCATATATCGCATGAAAATCCTTAGAGAAATTCGCAGTATCCAATCTTTGGATAAATTTTAGTTCACCCCAAGACAGCTAACCAGTCACAAATCTGTCCCCCAATCAATATATATATATATAATGTCAACCCTGGATTAATAAACCCCTAGGCTGTTTAATTGGGGGGATACCATTTAATTGGGGTTGACATTATATAAATAATATATATATATATATCAAAATACAGTAGGTTTCAATCCATCAACTTAACCCTCCGGTAACCCGTCATAATTAATCATATGACTGGCAAAACCCGCCCAGTTGCAGATGATTTCCCCAGCAGAGCCCATTTCTATGGTATCGATTGCCATGATTGGCTCACCCGGTGGGCAGCCTATGGCGATTGCTGGCAGGCCAGGGGCTTGGAGATCAAAAACCTCTGAAACTCTGCCACGAAGATCCTCAAGATTTCCTGAAAGCGTTGGGGAATTCGTGACCGGAACTCGCCCAAAAATGGGCCGACGGAGATCTAACTCTGCCAGAAATACGACCGAAATCGCTGGGTTATGAAGTCTCAGGGCCAAAAAAAACCGTGTGGATTCCATCTGCAGATGGGTAGAAAGCCATCAAAAACGGCTTCAAAAGATGACAAGTTTGGATTCAGGTCTTTCGGAACTTGGTCCAGGTTTTTCTTGCTGAGAATTTCCTACTTTTGCAGAGTCAGGGGTCCAACTTCTGAGGATATACTGGGGCACTACCTAAGTCGATCACGCCACTATACGAGAAATGTAATGCGTGCAACAACTACGCAACAGGTGTCTTTTTAAACGATCCGTGTATCAAACCGCAGATGGAAGTTTGAAGAAACGACAACCACATCTTTTTGCCATTCTTTCTACATTTTTTCCAGATACATCGGATACCGGTATGTTTGGTGGCGTTTTTTTTTTCCATAAAAGCCATCAACCCATCAGGCCGTCCACCTGCAACCAAGCCGCAGGCGTCCAGGAGGCATCCAGGAAGGAGAACTCCAAGGCGTCCGCGTTGACTTCGTACCTTTCCGATGCATCGGAGCCTGCTGCCACTACAATCATTGGGTTGGTTTAAGGGAAAATCGAAACCGGAAACCATGGTTTTTACCATCAAATATAGGGTTTTCCTGTAAATTTTCCCATCATCCAATTCTTTGATACAAAAACCTGGGCTCTTCTTGATCCTGTTCCGACCAATTGTATAAACTTGGAAAGCTATCCTGTTCTATCATTCTCCTGTTCTACAACTTGTTTTTTGAATGTAAAGCCAGGGGTGTGAATAGGTACTAAGCCCATTCAAAAAAACATCCTTCAACTGGGATTGGGGCCTATCACTGCAGGGTCCTACGTCGAACCTCGAATGTGCATCCCAGGCATTGCAAGTGATTTATGACTCTTTTTTTCGCTGGGACATCCCAAAAAAATGGACATTCTCTGGGGTGTAATGTGTTAATATGGTACTATATATCCATTCATAACTGGACCTGCACTTCGTCGGCTAGAAGTCAGGTCAGAACAACGCCAAGATGTCTCGGAGGTTCCCCTGATTCAAACCACCATGCTCCATCATTAAACCATCATTTTTCATCTGAGAAACGCGGTGGTCTTCCATCTGAAGAGTGAATAGCTGGTTGGTTAATGGTTAAGAGTGGTTAATGATGGTTAATGGTTGGTTAAAAAATTGGCTGGTTGGTGGTTGAGCCACCTACCCCTCTGAAAAATGATGGACTGAAAGTCAGTTGGGATGATTTTCCATTCCCAATATGATGGGAAAGTCATAAAATTCCATGGTTCCAGTCACCACCAACCAGATATCTCATTAACCATTCTTAACCATTCTTAACCATTCTTAACCATTCTTAACCATTCTTAACCATTCTTAACCATTCTTAACCATTCTTAACCATTCTTAACCATTATTAACGACTATTAACCATTATTAACCATTATTAACCATTATTAACCATTATTAACCATTATTAACCATTATTAACCATTATTAACCATTATTAACCATTATTAACCATTATTAACCATTCTTAACCATTCTTAACCATTCTTAACCATTCTTAACCATTCTTAACCATTCTTAACCATTATTAACCATTATTAACCATTATTAACCATTATTAACCATTATTAACCATTATTAACCATTATTAACCATTATTAACCATTATTAACCATTATTAACCATTCTTAACCACTATTATCCCATCATCATCATCCATCGTTTTCCATTTCAAACGTCTTTCCCAGCGCACATGATGCCAGTGAGATGGACCTGGTCATGGCTCCAAACCCCATCCTTCCACATCAGATCGCCGCCGATGCCCGAGCCTCCCAAGGGGGCTGGGTGTCATGGCCGGTCTATGGAGACGTTGATGCTGGAGACCGTTGGTTACGACCCGGTGACCCTCTGGTAAACTAACATAACTATGGTGGAAAATCACCACTTTTAATGGGAAAACTCACTATAAATGGCCATTTTCAATAGCTATGTTAAATTACCAGAGGGTAATTTGAACGTTTTTTAGAGGTGGACGTTGATTTTTGCACGTTTCATGGAAGTATTGCACGGTTCATAGAAGTCATGCACGGTTCATAGAAGTATGCACGTTTCACACGCCCGCCATGACGTTCTTGTGGGGAACTCTATCTATAGTTATATGTTCTTTCTTGTTGGAATTGCAATGAAATGTTGGAACCAGAGACTCTGGGACTATGTGTATGCCTTTCAATGGAGAAAGAACAACAAAGGTTGTCTCTGGAAGGCTGTGGGGCAGCTGGCACGTCGGAGACAAAAGTGGCGCCGTCTTTTGCAGATCAAATGCTCAGTTGACCAATGAGCAAACCGTCAGGGTCATTATCAACGTCTTGACCTTGTTTATGTTGTTTATTGGGATTAATCCTTGGGATATATATCGGGATAATCATGGGATAATCCTAAGATTAGTAGGGATACTAGGTATTAATAGGGACAAATATATATATATACAGTTTACTAGGATCATCATGGGAAAGTATGTATGGGAAGAATATCTACCCATGTGATACAAAAAACGGTTTAACCGTGTATCCTAAGGCTACTATAATACTATATGTGTTGATTGGAAACATAACGATGATCCTTTGAGGTTTGGGCTCTTGGGGGCAATTTTGCCACGACATACCTACTGGTTGGTGGTTGAGCCACCAACCCCTCTGAAAAATATGAAAGTCAGTTGGGGTTACTATTCCCAACTGAATGGAAAAGTAATCCAAATGTTCCAAACCACCAACCAGCCTAAAATTTACGACTGGAATTTGAAAATATAAGGAATGCAACATGGCACGAGTTGAGGCAGACTTTCACTGTGCCCAGTTGGTGCTGGTTCCAGGCAAGTGTTCAAGGCAAACACCTTTGAAATTAAGCATTGGTACATAGTGGTTTCTACTTACCCTTTGATAATTTAACGTAGCTATTGAAAATGATCATGTATGATTGATTTACCAATTCTAAATTGTGATTTTCCAGTTCGCAAACTGTAAGTTTACCAGAGGGTAGGCATCCAAGTCTGATGATGAACTCCTGCTTGCAGCCGTCCTGTAACTCAGGCTATCCCACATCAAACTGAGGCGATCCCGTCGCATGGTTATCTTTGGTACCCAGCGACAACTCGCCAAACTGCAGGAAAGGGAACTTTCCCTCAAACTGGCCGACCGTTTCTCCACTGAAAAATGGCTGTACCGTCAAACCGGAGACCCCAAGATCCGGTGGTTTATAGAAACTGCCATCTTTAGGTTCCCAGGGCTACCCTTTTAGAACGCCAAAAATGATAGTTCTGGACTCATTCGATTTACGCCGTTGCAGCATGGCTGCAAATTAGTGGTGGATATCCCAACCAAGGTTAAGGGCACCCTCAAGTCCTATGGTTCATGATAATTCCTCATGGCACACGTTTTTTTGCTTGATTTTGCAGATAGATTAAGGTGTGTATACCTCGTTTACGGACCAAACCAAGTGTTCCCAGAATGGGGGGCCCAAAATTCAAATACTGTTTCCTGATGAATGATAACTTGGGCCCCATGACGTAGGGCACCCTCTTGACTCATTAATCCCAATGATCATTCACTGTGAATCATTGACTGATACTTGTACTTTACCCAGTTCTCACCGCAGTTACTGTAGCCAAAAAAACTGAAACCACGATTTTAGGAAACACGTACGGTATGTGATCCCATGTCTTGTGGTTAAAACCCATGTGGTCATATGGGTGTGTCTGAAAATCGGCTATACACCTATAACCAAGTTCAATTGCCATATGTCATGCTAAAATCCAGCAAAAAAACATGATCAAGCATAATCACAAAGCAACATGTCATGGTTTCATGTTTTTTCATTGCAAAATTCTGACAAGCAATATTTCATGGTTTCATGTTTTTTCATTGCAAAATTCTGACCCGTTATGATCAATATATATATATATGGGATATTATGGATGAATAATGGGATTATTAGATATGGGATTATTCTATATGGGATTATTCTATGGGACTATTATATATATATATGGGATTCTAACCCATTATATATATATACAATCCCACAGAATCCCATAGAATCCCGCCGACCACCCCACCTTTCTGCGGTCGCAGCTGCACTAAATGGAATCCACCAGGGCCCGAGCCGCTGGTGACCTCGACGGAGCCGCTGGTCGTTTGCTGTTAAACATACGGCATTTTTTAATGGAATATATATATGATATATACATATATATATATATAATGAATATATATATATATATAAATATGAATATAAATATGATATGATCTGATATGATATGATATGATCTGATATGATATGATATGATATGAAAGATAATGTAGTTATATGTTTACATGTTTATACTGGATATATATATATATATGTGACATATTGTTTCACAGGATTTAATATGTTTAACATGATATTGAGCAAATAATGCGAATATAACATATATATATAACATTATGTAACTATAATTACATACATACATACATAACATAACATAACATAACATAACATAACATAACATACATTACATATATATATATATGCATGTCAATGCATATTGATGTATATATTATATGTCATCTGGAAAATGTATGAAAAGGTCGATTGAAATATGTGGGTGGTTCTTAAACAAAGACAACGGTTTATTGCAAAAATGCTTGGGTTTTATCGACCGCTAGAAGTGCTTTTGGGATATTTTTGGGGGCACAAACGGAAACAACCGGCCAGCCAAGCTCCACGTCCATCCATCAAACATGTGGAATTTACCAATTTTGCTATGAGGAAATGGTTGATTTTTGGTTGGGATCTCAGACCTGCGGATTTACCCGAAATGGTAAACTTTAACACAAAACTATGGAAAGATCCACCATTTAGTTATAGTATGTTATAGTGAATGTTCCCAGCTACAAAATGGTGGATCTTTCCATCGTTTTTTGTTCACGTTTACCAGGTAACGGGGTAACAAACCACCAGAAATTGAGGATTACACCTGTGGTTTTTTCGGAGAAAAACCCGAGGATTGGACCAGTGGGGATGACCACCTATGATGACCTGTCGACAATATGACAATGCGCACCATGAAAAAGATCCAATAAAGATAACTTACTAACTTAAGGGTATAAGTAATATGGCATATAAGTGGATCTAACCACTATGCAAATATGGCATATGTTTGAAACACGAGCAGAAAAAAACAGATGTTTTCAGGTTTCGGGCGAGTTTTTGGTTTGGGGCGAGTTCCAAGATTTTTGAGGTCCATGATTTGGGGAAAGATTGAAGCCTCCAGTAGGATGATCTTCATCCTGAGCAGTTGGGGAATCATCCCATTTTCACTGGGCTCCTGGTTCTTTTTTGACCCAAACCAATCCCCAGAGCCTCCATTCTTTGGTGATAAATCCTCACGATTTCTGGATAAGTCATGAGTAAAATCTCATATTTTTTGCCAGGTAAATCATGAACAGATCTATATATCTCCATGTTTGCAAAAACTCACAAACTCAGAATTTATGCTAGTAGCCTCCATGTTTTTTGAATTGTTAGTAGAATTCTTGCAGCAAAACCTCCAATAAATTCTGGTGAAAAACTCACCGTGGATGTGGATGTTTTCAAAGCGCCATGTTTTGCCAGACAAGAAATCCATAGGAAAAATCCACCCATTTGTCCCAGCGAAACCCAAGAAATCCATAGAAATCCACGCAGTCTACTCGAGTTTTACCATGTGTTCAACCATGTTTTACCTGAATACCACCAGTTTTTGCTCTTTTTTTCTACGTGTCTCAACATATTTTTGGAGCAAAAATTCCCCAGCATTTCACCACCATTGCTGTGATGATGTTTCCCCATTTTTGTTCACAGGTTTTCCCTACGAAAATCCATTTTTTCACCATTTTTTCACCATTTTTTCACCATTTTTCCAGGAAATCCCCCAAAAAATGCTGAAAAATACCAGCGAAAATCTCCGGTCGTTCTTTCGCCGCGGCGCAAAGTGCATGACCTCCTTGGGCCGGCAGCTCTCCGGGAGGATGGCCACCGGCCGCTTGGAGTCCGAGCCCTGGCTCGGTGCGGGCTCGGTGATGGCCGGGTGGAGGTAGTTATTTCATCTGGTTAATGATGGTTAATGATGGTTAATAGTGGTTAATAGTGTTTTTTATATGACACTTCTTTTCAGTGGTGATTTTATCTGGTTAATAGTGGTTAATGATGGTTGATAGTGGTTAATAGTGTTTTTTATATGACACTTCTTTTCAGTGGTGATCTTATCTGGTTAATAGTGGTTAATGATGGTTGATAGTGGTTAATAGTGTTTTTTATATGACACTTCTTTTCAGTGGTGATTTTATCTGGTTAATAGTGGTTAATGATGCTTGATAGTGGTTAATAGTGTTTTTTATATGACACTTCTTTTCAGTGGTGATTTTATCTGGTTAATAGTGGTTAATGATGGTTGATAGTGGTTAATAGTGTTTTTTATATGACACTTCTTTTCAGTGGTGATTTTATCTGGTTAATAGTGGTTCATGATGGTTAATATGGTTAATATGGTTAATAGTGGTTAATGATGGTTAATAGTGTTTTTTATATGACACTTCTTTTCAGTGGTGATTTTATCTGGTTAATAGTGGTTAATGATGGTTGATAGTGGTTAATAGTGTTTTTTATATGACACTTCTTTTCAGTGGTGATTTTATCTGGTTAATAGTGGTTAATGATGCTTGATAGTGGTTAATAGTGTTTTTTATATGACACTTCTTTTCAGTGGTGATTTTATCTGGTTAATAGTGGTTAATGATGGTTGATAGTGGTTAATAGTGTTTTTTATATGACACTTCTTTTCAGTGGTGATTTTATCTGGTTAATAGTGGTTAATGATGGTTAATATGGTTAATATGGTTAATATGGTTAATAGTGGTTAATGATGGTTAATAGTGGTTAATAGTGTTTTTTATATGACACTTCTTTTCAGTGGTGATTTTATCTGGTTAATAGTGGTTAATGATGGTTAATAGTGGTTAATAGTGTTTTTTATATGACACTTCTTTTCAGTG